CTTGCAGCCCATGTGGGTAGGTCTGATCATAGTTCTACTGTGTTGCAAAATGGTCATAGCCAATGCCTCTAACACTATTTATTGCCATATATACTGAAACACAGTGAACAAGTTACCCTGTAAGGATCATGAACAAGCCCTGCACAGAACACACATAGCAGTTCTGTTTGATGCACACACTCTGATTATTCTCCCTATCTTTGTCGTCTGCCCATCCTCTCATCACCTCCCTATCTTGGCTGCCTACCCATACTCTCATCACCTCCCTATCTTTGCCATCTCCCCATCCTCTCATCACCTCCCTATCTTGGCTGCCTACCGCTACTCTCATCACCTCCCTATTTTTGATGTCTACCAATCCTCTCATCACCCCTCTATATTTGCTGTGTACCCATACTTACGCTGTGACTGCAGGTACCCCCGGGTCGAGACTACACAACGATAGGCAATGCTGTACCAGTGACGTTTGGTGGTGAGGGTAAAGGAGAGAGTCGCTTCAGATCACCTCACGGCATAGCCATCGACAAACAGTGTCTACTGCATGTTGCTGACATGCTGAATCACCGTATACAGGTACGTGACTCTACAGTCCTTCCCTGGTTGAGTGCATTCCGTGCCTGTTTGTTACTTGGTTGATTGCATTCTAAGCCAGGGTGATGGCATTCCTTTTCTGGTTGAATGCGTATAATTTCTGACTGAATTCATTCTGTTTCTGGTTGAGTGTGTTCTGTACCAGTTTGTTTTGTTTACTTTACCACATGGTTGCCTACATTCCGTTCCTGGTTGTTTGCTGTATTTTGCGCATGGCTGATTACCGGTCAATTGCATTCCTCACCTCGCTGATAGCAATCCATACCGTATTATCTCTCTTATAAACACAGGTCTCCATTGTAAGCACAGTCTCCATTATAAGCACAGGTCGGAGGGCTGTTGAGAATACAAACGCACAGTCTCCAACATAGTCACAGTGATAATACTGGAATGCAGTTGTGCGCATAAAAAAAATAAAAAAGTGCTCCACATGCGTGACTTCCACTTCCGCATTATTCTTTTTTCTTCTCTCTGTTCTCTAATCAAGAAATCTGAGTTAAATTCCAATTTGAGTGTGTTACCGGTATGCAACTTTCTTGACTTTTTCATGGTTGAAAAAATATAAACACGGTCTCCTCTATAAGCACGGGTGCGAGGTGGGTTGAAAAAATATAAGTACCGTGTTTATAAGGGAGATAATACGGTACGTTGTTGACTTTATTCCGTATCTGGTTTACTTCTGGTCATAGCGTTCTGTTCTTGGTTGTAAGCATTGAGCAATGCACTGTGAGTGTACTGCACCGTGACTGGTTGACTGCATTCCCGTATGCATACAGGCTGGTTGACTGCATTCCCGTATGCATACCGACTGGTTGACTGCATTCCCGTATGCATACAGGCTGGTTAACTGCATTCCCGTATGCATACCGGCTGGTCGACTGCATTCCCGTATGCATACCGACTGGTTGACTGCATTCCCGTATGCATACCGGCTGGTCGACTGCATTCCCGTATGCATACCGGCTGGTTGACTCCATTCCCGTATGCATACCGGCTGGTCGACTGCATTCCCGTATGCATACCGGCTGGTTAACACTGGTTAGATTACCACTGGCTACAGCACTGTTCATTACCAGAGCATTCTGCCAGTTCTATGCCGGGATGTCTGATTCAGTACTCCATGCTTCACACAATCAAGTCGTGGGTTCAAAATAATGATTTTCTGTGATTTGTATTCTGCTCCAGGTGTTTAACCCTCACGGCGGATTCATCCGGAGCTTTGGTGATCGAGGGCCGAATCCAGGCCAGTTTGTCGAGCCCATCGGTATCACCATTGATGACGACGGCCATGTTGTTGTCACCGACTACAGTAACCATCGGTTACAGGTATGGTGCTTCCAGCCTGTTCTTCGCGTTACTTTATCCACGGTCTCTCTCGCTCTCTCTCTCCAATGTCTCCTCTTCCCTCCGGGTGCTTGTGTGGGTGCGTGCGTGTGTATTCTTTATCAATGCTCTTTGTAAGTTTGTGTGTGTGTACCCTCAAATTGTTTTGCTTTGCACCGGTCAGCTGCTTGCAATTTCTTTTTATATATTGTGCTTTTGACTTCTCATACCGTTGGACATTTATGTATGTGTCTCCATGAAAATGACTCTATCTGTCTATCCTTATTATCAGGAATCTGTCTGTGTGTCTGTCTATGTGTCTGCATGTATTTGTGTTCCTGTGTGTGTGTGTGTGTGTGTGTGTGTGTGTGTGTGTGTACGTGCGTGTGTGCGTGTGTGTGTGTATCTGTGTGTATGTATGTGTATGTGTGCATATCTGTGTGTATGTGTCTGAATGTGGGTGGGTGTAGGTTCTCCGTCATAATGGCACGGCAGTACGCTGCATAGGCAAGAAGGGCACGGCGGCTGGCAGCTTTGCCCTGCCGTTTGACGTTGCCACGTTCTGCCATCCCACCATTGGGCTTTG